GCTGGGGGCCCACCCTCCGGGACATTTCTGATTCTTAAGAACTAAATCTAAACAAACAAAATGACAATGGCTGATGACTCTCCTGGTTCACTTCTTTCTCTTGGAGAGCAGCTCTTTCCCAACAGAGCTCCTCGAATTATGGAAAGCAGAGACTCACTGAGAAGGAAAACCTTCTGTAGGAAATGTGGGCTGCCTTTGGCAGCTGGGAAGCCTCTGACCCACTCTCAAGGACAGCTGACAGCTCTAGCAAGCCATAGAACACCTACTGTGATCTCTACTCCTCAGTGAGGAGATGAACTGTGCCAGGTCCCCATGGGAAGTTAGGTGCCGTGAATGTAGAAAGGGGACCCTTGGGGCCGCACATGAAGGAAGTTGCGCTTGGCTGCATACATACATGGCCTTCTGTATGCGAATGTGTAATCATTCTCCACACATTGAAAGAAACAATGGGGAAGTGTGAATGACAGCACAACCAGCCATTCTATCTTAAGGTAAAGTGGGAAAGCATGTCCTCTGCCTCTCCGTTCTTCGTAAACAGTTCCACATCCCTAACTCTATTCTCAGGGCCATGTGAGGTTGCCACAGTGCCATGGAGGAAGGCTCCTCCCCCCACGTCCTTACAGCCACGGGGTGAAAATCCCAGTTATATTATTGCTGCAGTTCTCACAGACACTACACTCTGGGAATCCAACAGTTGTGCAACTGAGAGATGGTCACACTGTGATGTTGCTGGGAGCTCACTACATGTTGTTCTCCACCACAGCACGACAGCCCAGATGGCAAATGTGGATGCAGTGTTTACGCTGAATGGTTACTCGGGGAACCTGTGGGTGGGTGGGCAGCCACCAGCTAATGCCCCGCGTGATGCCGTGTGTCCTGCAGCAGTAGTTTCACCTGCAGTTTCCACGTGAGGCAGCCGCGGCTGCACTTCCAGTTCCCTTCCTCTTACTCCCAAGTCACATTACAGCTGCGCCAATGCACTGATGTTTCTTAAAACTGAATGCAGGGGATAATTATATTCTCTATGAAATTAATTTCACATTTCTAGAGAGGCCCTTACAAAATAGTTGCTTCGTGATAGTTCTGGGACTCCTCTTCCTCTAAACTCAGTATGCCCGTCACACACTCACTCATCACTGAAAAGACGACATGAGAAAGCACGTGGAAGCGGATGCAGAAGTGGGCACGGGCACTGCTAACCAGAGCAGGCGACGCAGAAGAAAACAACAAGCGGTCGCAGACTGTTCTCTAACTCTTCTCAAAGGCAAATGAGCACATCCTATAGACTGTTTTTCAAATCTGGGGGCTCGGGATGCTTACAGTAACACTTTTACAGAGTTAAAACGCTGACATATCCACTCAGCATTAGATTTTATACTGTGAAGTTCACTTCCTCCGAATTTATTCTTACTTTACCTGGTTTCATCTGTTGAGCCTTTTACTTCGTCGCTAAGCCTGAAGGTCCCTAAAGGTTTGTCTTCCGGAATAGAAGGCAAGGAAGCAGCTGGTAACTACAATAAAAAACAAAGACCTTTCAGCACTAGCTGTGAGGTCCGTGCTGACCGAAATCTGGCTGAGTGAATAGGCCACAGATGAGGCTCAAACCAAGCCTTCCCCAACCAACTCACGGCCCCAGGAAGGCCATTTGCTTTAGAAAAGAGATTTTCTGAGTGCAAAGCAGGCTGGACTTGGCAACTGGCACCCTCAAATGACAGGCCGTTTTCCATTGGGTCACTGTCTGTACTAGTAGCACCATTTAGAGTGACAGGTTCTTGAAGCTCAAGTGGCGGGGCCTCCTCATCTTTGGCATCATGGCCAGCATGGTGAGCTGTGGCCATCCTGCCCACACCGTTCCCCTTTGCCAGGCCCTTGGAACCCTAGTCAGACTCTTTGGATGACTGCATCCTAGGGGACCAGCACACTGGAGCTCACCTTGGACTCGCCATTTATCACTGGCTTGGAGCATGACTTGCTTGGGGAGAGTGGCTCTGCTGCTTCACTGTAAATCAACACTGACAGTGCATTCAGGGTGGACTGTACTGCAGAGCAGCAGATGGTGGTAGGAGGAACAGGTTTGTTAGGGGCCTCCCCGGAATTGCTGTGTTGGTTAGGCTGAGATTGCGCTTGCAGAACAGGCTTGTCCTGAATGCCGTTGGTGAGGTTTTGTTCCTTAGGGTGCTCTGCCATCGCAGGGTGGCAGCTAACTCCTGTAGGAGTGTCAGCAGGACTAACCCTGCTGACACGGGGACTTCCATTCGGACTGGCCATGGAACTTCTTGGCCTGGTCCCGTTCAAGTGAGGTGATTTCTGCAAGGAAGAAAGCCACAGCCAGGTCAGCACTCCAGAGTCAGGGTCTGCTCCAGCCATCGGCCTGCCCTTTGGTCTTGTGACTGACGGGTTACACAAATCATGAACACCGCCCTTTTCTTTCATCTGCTCTATCCACGTGCACTTTTCACAGGCCCTAATTTTCTGGAAATTAATCCACACACAGGACAAAGTTGTCTGTCAGAACACAATCCTCCTGGCACGGGTTCACTTATGTTCTCCTTGGCTGGCTTCCAGGGAGGCCACTGCACAGACAGAAGTGTCAGCTTGCTGACCTCCAAGCAGGGGAAAGTACATAGGCAGAAAAGGCTGCTTCAGGTACTGTATGTGAGGTTACGACTGCGTGCCTCCACCCAGTGGTGTCTCAGCATTGTACTCATACAGTTCTGTTGCTCTGGGTTCCACTACTACCGCAGAACCTCTGTGACAACACAGGTGACAGCTGGTTCACAGACCAATAGTGTTTGGCCTGTCGGTGTTTTCTTAAATACTTGAATTAGCTTCTGCCTTGAAAAAACCGAACAACTCTTAAAAAGTTAATTGGGCTGGAGATATAGCTCAGCAGTGCAGCACCTGCCTGGCAAGCACAAGGTCATGAATTTGATTCCCAGTACCAAAAAAAAAAATTCCATCACAGCTGCCCCTTTCCCTACGCATGTACATTCTGCTTTGCCTGTGCCCCACTTTCTCCTGAAGCAGAGTCCAACTCAAGCTGGCTCTCAGCCCAGCTTATAAATGCGTTTAACTGAAACAGAGCCCAATGTCTACCAAAAAAGTAATTCAACTAGATAATCTGATAGTTCAAACTCAAACTGAAAAGCTATAAAACCTGAGAGCAGCGATGACCTAGTGCAGTTTGAGCTGCAGATGGCCTGGTCATGGGGCCCCAGGGGGTTTGGAGGATGGGACCCATGGGGTTTGGAGGACGGGCCCCACCCTGCGGACCATGTCAGGCCCCTTGGGCAGGAAGGCACATGGGCTCGATCACACCCTTGGGACAGCAGATTTGAAAAACAGCACACTCCTAAGATAGCTATGTGGACATAAAGTGTCCTTGTAACAGGATCACTTTCCTGATGTCTAACATGATTTACAAACTCACCTATCTAACCTGTGAGTGGAGCACAAGTCCACAGCGAGTGCTAACTTTTAGATATACTCACATCAGATGTTCCTCTCCACCACCCTGTTCACACTGAGATTTCCTGTATATTTAATATTTTGGTGGATGCTTTTTTTTTTTTTTTTTTTTGGTACCGGGAATTGAACTCAGGACCTTGCACTTGCCAGGCAGGCACTTAATGCCACTGAGCTACATCCCCAGTCGTCTGTATTTAATATTTTGAAATGAAGGGTCTGCATAACCTGTTTTGACAAGAAATCCAGGTATAGAGAGTGTTTGAGGATAGACCTTAGAGGTAAAAATCAGATGCCACCTCTAAAGTGTTACCTTTCTCTTGTGAGAGGGAAACTGTGGGCCAGTAAGCCCGGATGCGGCCTGCTTGTTGGTGACACCCTGATGACTGGTGACCAGGCGGGGAGAGGACTGACCGGGATGACGAGTGGAATGAGTAAGTTCATTTACATTTTTGACATCGTGGGACCTGGGGACAAAGAATGAGAGGGCTTAGGATGATGGAGGGCATCTTAGTAGAGACGGATTTCTAAACTCAGTTCCTCGGAAAGACACTGATGGCAAAGATACTGCTTCTCAGTCACTCTGCACAGAGCCATCCGATGCATTAGCTCCCTTAGGGGTGTGGGTCAGTGTCGGGGTGCTCAGCTCAGGACACAAGGGCAGTTGGGTAAAGGAAATGGTATTTTTAAACTCTGTATCCTGAGGATGCTGATATTGGAAGGCTAGTTTTTCTGTTTGTATTTTAAAATTAAAAATGCATAACATGGTAGAAATCCCCTAGTGTCCAGAAAAATAGGGAAAGAACACGTCACACCCTCAGAGATGGTTCCCCTTTGACTGGACAGATCGTCCCCCATCTTTCACCCAACACCAGGGTTTGATATTTCGAACTGCTTTCCCTCCACATACGCTCAGCACTTTCCCAAAGCATTAAAGAAAAGGTTTGTAACAATCCGTCTTGGCAGGTGATGGGCCACATAGCAAGACACTGTCTCCAAAAAGAAAGAAAAGAAAAAATCACTCTTAACAATGGCATAAAATTTCAACACATCATTCTGCCATTGTTGAACATTTTAGGTTATTCTTAACCTGAAGCTTCCATATTTAAAAAGGACACCTTGGGCCGGGGATATAGCTCAGTGGCACAGCGCCTGCCTGGCAAGTGCGAGGTTGTGAGTTCGATTCCTGGTACCAATAAAAAAGGGTTAGGTCATGGCTCAGTGGTAGCAATTGCCTCGCTTGTTCGAGGCCCTGGGTTCTATTCCCAGCATGGAAAAAACAGGGTTGGGGGACACCATGGGGTACACATCAGAATTTTTTTCCATAAGTGGAATTGTAAGTCAGCTTGCAGCTACAGCCAAATCAGCCCAACTGCTGGTCCCAGCCCAGCCTGATGCCTAACCAGCACTGTGCTCAGCACTAGGGAGGTGCTGGGTGAGACTGTGCAGGGTGCTCAGAGTCCCCTTCTCAAGCCCTCTACCCAGGCTCTCCACATCCCCAGGTCCGCTCCGTCTGCTGCCAGTAGCATAAGCCACCCGCTCCCCACCTCTCACATTTCCCTTCCTCTGCATGTGCAGCACTGAGTGCCAAAGAGCAGCAAGCTGACGCAACCTCATAATCTGTACTCAGAAGTGGCCTCTGTACTCTGCACACATGCGTCAGGGTAATCCTTAAACTCTGGTTTTTAAAACAAAACTCAAGGGCTGGGGATATAGCTCAGCAGCACAGCACCTGCCTGACAATCGCAAGGTCCGGAGTTTGATTCCTGGTACCAGGAATAAATAAATCAATAAATAAAAAAAAAAACCTCAAAATTGAATTGAATGTGGATGACATGAAAAGAAATGACATTACAGAGAGTGTGGTAACTTGTTTTCATGACAGTACCTGATATAAAAGAGCACATATGCTTGTTGGCTGAGTACCGATCTAATATCACTAGCAGATACAGTGGAGTCATTCATGTGATACCACAGGCCGTTGCTAGCCTGCGGAAGACAGCCAGTAAGAGGGAAAGATCAGAGTTTGTCAGGTTAACAAGGACAGAATAAAAAGAATAAGAAAAAGAAGCATTCACACTTTAATTGTAAAACTCCCACCTTCCCCCCAAAGAATGCTAGTGCTTGCTGTCCTACAGAGTCTATGTAAAAGCAATGAGCAAAATCCACACGGCTCACTTTCACGTAACAGAAGTAATGGCCTGTACGGCAGTTATATCCACTGTGGACCAACACTGCATACAAAGCATAAATAACGGGTTCTCCATTTGGTTCAGACATGTATGGCCGAATATCAAGATACTCAGGATATTTCACATCCTAAAGAAGAGATGGACAAAGGAGAAAGCAATGTAATTTTTAAAGGCACCGAAGGCTCCCCTGGTGCAGGGTATTTAGGGTGTCCCAGGAAACCCGCACAATGCTGCACAGTGATGTTCCAGCAGAAACCCAGTGCATTTCTTCACTTTTCAAAGGACACGATTAACCTGGAAGACATTCTCGCTGTCCTTATTTTCCTTAAGTAAGGATCCACTGTGACTGTCACATATCAAATCCACGATACAAGACAGTCACAAAACGATAACTGGGCATTCACCACCAATTATTTTAATTAATTACTTTGTGTTTTTGAGACAGGGTCTTACTATGCAGTTCAGGTTGGCCTTGAAATCACTATGTAGCCTAGGCTGACCTTGCAGCAGTCCTCCTGCCTCAGCTGCCCTAGTGCTGGGATGACAGGCATATGCCACCCTGCCAGGCCACTTCGAATAATTTAAGAATGTTATCAGTTATTTCTCTTCTATGTCACTGCATTTTTTACTTGTTTTTTGAAATAAGACTTCACTATGTAGACCAGGCTGGCTTTAAACTCGCTATGTAGCCCAGCGTGGCCCAAGACTTCTATTCTCCTGCCTTAGCCTCCCGAGTGCACCATGCCCAGCTTTGCTATTTCCTTTGGACCCTTTCAACCTTCAGTAAGTGAGAAGAAAGTAGGAAAATTCAGTGTAAGTGAAAAATCAGAAAACAAGAAAATAAACTTTGATGAAAGAGAGGCAAGATCTGGAGGGGGAGTCCTCTTTGGATTTCAAATTATCCACGCTCTCCCTTTATCCTCCCATTACCACGGATACCAAAGAATTAACCATGAAGCTAAAACACAGGTGAGTTCCTAATTTTATCAGTAGACAGCCTTGCCCCCAGGAGTACAGTAAACACATATATCCTCATAAGCACACAGACCAAAATCTTAACTCAATACTTTGACTTCTTTCCCCTGCTATCCAAGAAAAGCTTATAAAGTCAATCAACAAATTGTTTATTAGGTTATTTGTAATTTTTAACAGCTACTGGCACGTAAGTCTTGGCTTCCCATAAAAGCTTATTAATAACATCATCTACATACCTTAGAAATCTTTCCACCAAAATAATTTGCAAAGCGTTTCAGAGAAAGTGTAAGAACATTAGGTGATCTGTGTATGGAAAGCCTCTTTGAAGCCGGAACCATATTTTTGCACCTTGAGGTAAACAAACAAAAGATTAAGAAGATCAAAATTTTATGTGAATTTTTTTAGTCTTTCCCTTGCTATTTCTCTGAAACACCCTCATTTAAGATTTAAACACAAGCATAATAGATAAGGAACATCCTCCTGCTCCAAACAAACACTGGAGATATTTAAATTAAAAATGCTGGGGGTAGCTAGGCATGGTGGCACACACCTACAACCTCAGCACTCGAGAGGCTGAGGCAGGAGGATCACCACGAGTTTTAGGCCAACCTGGACTACACATAATGAGTTCAACAGCAGCCTCAACTACAAAGAGAGACGCTGTCTCAAAAAACAAAAAATAAAACAAAAAAGCAAACGAAATCGGGGAAATTGCCGAGTAGCATGACAGGAAGGACAGCTCAATTCTGAAACATCAGGCGGCACAGGGCCCCATGATGTGAAAAACAGATTAATGTGGGTTGGGGGTGTAGCTCAGAGGTGGGACGCTGGCCTAGCATGCATAAGGTCTTGAGTTCAACCCCCAGCACTGCAGAAGAACATCATAGGTTAACTCACTTCTAAGGCACTGAAAGCTAACTGGTTTTTTAGGCTGGTATAATTCTGTGAAAGCAAAGCCCTACCCAGATACAAAAGGGAAAAAAAGATGAAAAGTGTCAGGAAAAATGCCTAGTCTTGGAGATAAAAGCACCGTCTTCCCCCAGATATTGAATACTTACTTGGCAAGAAAAGATTATTTAATATAGATATCTGTATCACCTGGCTATCAAGTGAAAATCCACTTAAAACAAATGAAACAGGGGTTCTTGATACTATAGAATTTTCTATTTTTTTATTTTATGAAACAGGGGTTCTTAAAACAGACTCCCGTGACTGCCTGTGCAAATGCGCTATTGAATAATGTAAATGAAGTTTCCAGCAGCCTCTGTCCCCCCATGGGTACCCAGTGTAAGAAAGATCCTCAACTCTGCTGGGAGAGAAGGTGACCCCACCCTCCCTCCAGTCTCCTCTGAGAGGGGAGTCAAGGAAGATGCTGCCATGTTGAAGGAGCATCATCTTGAAGAAGCTGTGGCAGCACTGCGGCATCGGGTGGCAGCACTAGTTCTCCAAGGGTGCAGAGCTGCCCATCTTGAGAGAGTGCAGACACCGGACCTTCATGTTCCGGCCTCTGTGGGACACACAGCCTGGGTCTCCCAGAGGGCACCAGGAGCTAAGGCAACCTAGCGAGCCATTCAAACACAGCACGCCCTTTACAGTCAAGGCTCCCTGTCATCCCAAGTGAAGCAGCCATGTCAGGGACTGCAAGTCACCCCCCATCATACTTGCTACACTTGTAGCAGTTCTCGCCATCGAGCTGTTCCGGCTTCACAAACTGCTCCAATGCCTTGTTAACACTCGGAGCAGCCTGGGAGGAAAAAGAACAAGTAGGTGCACTGTCATGGTTTGTGAGAGAGCAAGCAAGCAGAAGACTCAGAGAAACAAATGAGAATTTTTATGAAAAAAATGTTTTTATGGGTATGGTGTGGCTGAGTTCCCAACTACCTGGGAGACTGAGACAGGAGGATTGGCAGTTTGGGTCCAGCCTGAGCAACTTAGAGTCAATCTCGAGTAAATTTTTTAAAATAGCCTGGGAATGGGGCTAAGTGGTAGAAGGCCCTGGGTTCAATCCCCAATGCCATACACACACAAAAATGTTTTCCTTTAGGATGATTAGCCTCACCCCAATTAAAAACAAGCAGATTAAAGTGAACAAAAATATGTATGGAGGTGGCTCACTGCAGCTTTACTTAGAATGCTGTAAAAGTAGAAGGCAACATGGAATTCTATCCAGCTACTGAACCCCCACCCACTGCCCAAACACGCTGATGTGGAAGGTCTCCAAGCAGAGCGAAATGAAAACAGCAAGTGGACAAATAGACTAAGGTAGACTCCCTTTTTAAATTTTTTCTGTTTTTTTCTTTTTTGCAATACTGGGGATCCAACCCAGGGCTTTCACACTTAGCTGTAGTCCCAGCCCGTCCCTTATTTTTATTTTAAACAGAGTCTCACTAAGTTGCCCAATTTGGGTTGAAACTTGTGCTGCCTGTCTGAGCCTCCCTGAGTCCTGGCATTATACACACGCAGCACTGTGCCCTGCTCATAGTCTCAGTTTTGTAAAAAAGGACCTACTCTATTCTGAGGCAGTGCATATCAGATGACCAAGAGCAACAGTGCTAAAGGGCAGATTTAATATATCTGCAGTGCTTGTGCTTTTCATCATAAGCATGTTACATCTGTTATCAGAGAAGCAAAAGCTCAAGAATAAAAAAAATGTAGTTCAGAAAATGCCAGATGTGGGGCTGGGGATTTAGCTCTGCGGCACAGCCCCTGCTTGCATACGGAAGGTCATGAGTGTGAATCCCGGAACTGGAAACCTCCCCCCGCCGAAAAGAAAATGCAAGATGCAAAAACAACTTTTAAAGAATAAGAGCCATCTAAGGTTTGCTGATAGAGATGTCAAAACCTGGTATTACTGAGGCAGGAGGATCGTTGCGAGTTTGAGGCCAACCTGGGCTACAAAGGCCAGCCTGACCTGCATAGCCCTGTCTCAAAAAGACCAAAACTAAACAAAAACAAATATAAAACCCGGTTTTATTAAGTAAAAAGTCAAAGAGTAAAAAAGATTTAAAACTTAACCACAACGAAAACTATTAAATTTACCTTTATCTCCAATGTAATATCAAGACATGGCTCAAAAGTGTCTGAAACACCCTTGCAATTTAAACATTGGACTGAAATAAAAACAAAATGCAAAAGATAAGCTACGTGGAATCAGTATGGCAGTCTCATGTATTGCAATTACAGAATACAAATACTACTTCAAAGTAAAAAAAATTGAAAAACAGTTTAACTTTTTTTCTACTAGGTTAGGAAAAAAGTTAATCTTATACACAGTGTAGGAAAAAGTCTCATAAATTTCACCTGTTCTGCACTACTGGTATGATCTCTTAGACTGAAAGCATGTCAGTATAAAAGTTTAAAATACATCTTATGACTCAAATTCTAACACTTAGAGTTTATTGTGTACACTTGTACATAGACACAAAAGCGTGAGTACACGGGTGCTGTTCAATAAGGCCCTGGTGGTAACAACAGAATAGAAAGCTAAGTATGCATCAGTAGGAGAATAAAACAAATGGACACTATTGCAGGTATGAAAGAACCTGTTAGACCTCTGTGTGCTCAAATAGAAAGGTTACTACTAAGATTAAGGGAAAAACAAACGTATTCTATAGTTGGCTCTCAGCTTGCTCATGAGTAAGAGACTGCCCGGAGGATATACTAGGAACTGGTACAAGGCTGCCTCTGGGGCGGGAGAGGGAATCTCTAGTTCTCCTTATTTCTACTATTTTCATTCTGATAACACATGCATGAGCCACTTTATGGACTTGTGACAAAAACTGACCTCTGGATCTTAGATACCCTCCAAATATCTGATACATCAGTGTGGTGGCCTGGGTGTGTCTGTCAAATCTGAAAAAGACAAAACAGTGATATAAGAATTCTGCAAAAGTACGGATGCTATGACTGGATTTTAAAAGCATGTGTATTTCTAAAAGAACAAGAACTCAGAGAGGAGAGCCACAGAAAATAAAAAATCAGCCTGCATGGTCCCCAGAGACCGGCCCTGCCTGGAGGAACACAGCGAGGATCTGGGGAGGATGATGGAAGGAGCTAAATTGTGAAGGGACTTTGAAATCAAGGTGGGAATGTGGCTCAGAAGCAAAGCAGCAGGAGGAAGACACCCTCACAGGCTTATGACCCGGAGTGGGACTTGGGGAAGGTAGAGCAGGCAGAGTCTGTCATCATCCAGACCCTGAGGGCCAGGAAGCGAGTGGAATGCAAAGGGAGGTGTGGGAACCGGGTGCATGGGCAGTAGCGGCTGGGTTAGGAGTGTTACATGACTGTCTCACCCATCCTTCTCTTGAGTCTGCACTTAGATTTTAGGGAGAAGCTATAGGAACTGGTAGAGAGAGAGACACAGAGAGACAGAGAGACAGACAGACAGAGAGCAGGCACGAGCTAGAGTACAGCAAACAGATTTATAAGGCGGGAGGTCAACAGAGGAAATGTCTGGCACAATTAGAAAGGAGGAGCAGGTACTTCTAGATCTGCCAAGGCATCCTGATGCTCAGAATTAAAGAACAGCAAAGCCAGTGTTCATTTCCTTGCATCTATAGTTCAACAGATTCAAATTGGGACAGTAAGCACGTGTTTTTAAATTTTAGTCATTTTAAAATAATGCAAGGCTGGGTGTGGTGGCGCAGGCCTGTAATCCCAGCACTTGGGAGGCTGAGGCAGGAGGTTCGTTGCGAGTTCGAGACCAGCCTGGGCTACAAAGTGAGCTCAAGGCCAGCCTGAACTGCATAGCGAGACCCTGTCTCAAAAAGACAAAAATAAATAAATAAATAAAATAAAATGTAAATAAGATAAAATAATGCAAATCAAGTGAGAAAGAGAAAATGCAAAGCCAAAAGGTAAAGCAAACAGATCTGTGTATTTTCAACATAAAAGGCAAAACAAACGTGGTAAGCCAGTGATGTAAGCTGAAGAAACCACGTATACTCACGCATCGATGCCAGTCAAGCATGCTTCCTGCATAGCGTCAATGATGTACTGAAGAAATTCATGGGCATCTTCTTGCTTTCCAAAACAGAAGTTCCTAGCTATACCTATAAGTTTTAAGCAGAGACAAGGCTTTATCATTACATATTAAATGCCTAGGCTGCAAAATTACATGTTTCTTTTTTTTTTTTTGGTACCGGGAATCGAACTCAGAACCTTGTGTTTGCCAGGCAGGCACTTATGCCGCTGAGCTATATCCCCAGCCCAAAGTTACACCTCATGTTACTCAGAAAACCCCCAAATAACTGCACTTAACGAGGAAGTAGCACTGACACAAGCACCGCGCACTTTCACCAGGAGCCCACAGGGGCTGCAGTTCCTGAGAGTCTGAGAGCAGCCACAGAGTGACTCTGTGTCTTTACCAAGTTAATACAGTTCCACTTCAATAAAGTCCACATTGGTTCTAGTGACTCAGGCTCTTCCAAAGTGTTAGGTTAGTGCACCCATTTTAAATATGACACCCAAATCCATCAGAGACCTGTGCAGAACACAAATATGCAAGCTACTCAATTCTGCACCATTGACTGCAAAAAAAGTCATATTGTCAGCTGCACAGTAACATTTCAGTCCTAAATGACTAAGCAGGTGCAAGAAGAAAGCATTTTTAAAAATTATAAATCAGTCTCTAGCACAAATGTATTATAGCACAAAACCTATTAGACACTGAGTCTTATATGTGTAGGGATGTAAATATAGTCTGGCTTAAACAATATAGAACTTCCAATATTCCACCAGTTTTGACCAATATAAATAGCAGTTCCATGATTCAACAGTATGTGTGTATACGTGCCACTTTCCTAACAACTAGATTATTACTCCTGCCTGCTATATATATGTGTCTAAAAATAAATGTATACATAATCAAAATAATCAGGGGCTGGAAATTTAGCTCAGTGGCACAGTGCCTGCCTGGCAAGCGCAAGGTCGTGAGTTGGATTCCTGGTACCGGAAACAAAACAAAACAAAAACCAAAAAAAAGAAACAAAATAATCAGCATTGTCCTGCCTAAAATTTTGCCAGAACCCTGTATGTTTTCTTTAGTTTTAGTCGTTTTGAGACAGGGTCTTACTATGGAGTTCACACTGGGCTTGAGCTCACTTTGTAGCCCAGGCTGGCCTCAAACTCATGGCAATCCTCCTGCCTCAGTTCCCAAGTGCTGGGGTTACAGGTGTGTGGCACCACCCTTGGCGCCAATATGTGTTAAAGATTTCTGCACTGTCCACTCTGGTCCACCAATAATGCCAACGGCCCATTTAATCTTTAATCTTGAGCAGCTTTTAAGACAAGATTTTCATATTGTTTATCATTGTATAATTATGCATTCCTATAATTACCAAGCTAGATACCAGATTAAGAGTGAAAAGCATTTTTTCTTTGTGTGCACTTTTAGTATAACTTGGCTAATTAAAATGATGTAAAAGTTAATGCAAAAGGCACACAGAGCCCGGTGTGGTGGTGCGCAGGATCTCGAGTTTGAGGCCAGCCTGGGCTACCCCGTGAGACCCTCGGCTGTGGGGGGATCGAGTGGGGGGGGCACTTAGAAAATACCTAAGAAAATTTCATGCAATCTATTTAGAAATTTAAAATTAAACAGTAAAAATTGAAGTTTGTTCATAAATTTAGTTAAGCTATGAGTATAAATTTTTCTGAGAAAGTATAGTTACCTTCATTTTGACAATTCTTGTGACTATGTATAATACAGGATTAATTTACCAAATTAAAACTAAATATAAACCATTTAAAGAGAAGGACAATATGAGAGACTACTCAGCATAGAAATCCAATTATCTGAGAAAAGGCCTTTTAAATGATTTTATTAACAAACTCTGTTTTAAATCATTTAAAATTTGCCTATATTAAACCATGGTCTTCTTTATTATAGTGTCATCTCTTTAAAATTTAATAAATAGCTTATATAGTAAATGTTTAACTAAACATTTATTACTAATTAAAGACATATCCAGCTGGGTATGGTGGCACACACCTGTAACCCTAGCACTCAGGAGACTGAGGCAGGAGGATTGCCATGAGTTTGAGGCCAGCCTGGGCTACATAATGAGTTCAAGGGCAACCAGCACTATATAGCAAGACCTTGTCTCAAAAATAAAAAAATAAAAAAAAAGACATATCCATGTACAATAAATACATGTGGTTTATTTTGTAGTAAACTTTGGGTTTTTTTTTAATCATCTAGGCCATTAAGACTAACTAGCTAAAGGCCAGGCACAATGGTGCATCCCTGTTAGTCCCTGCTACCCAGGAGGCTGAGGTAGGGGTATGCCTAGGCAACAATATTAGTCCTCATCTCGGGAAAAGAATACCTTGTTGAAAAATACTTCTCTGGTTGATACTTACGCTCCATTTCATGGATGACAAACTTGGGTTGAATAACGTCCCCAGGACTATTGAGTGCCTGGGTAATATGGTCTTGCATTGTACACATCATACAAAATCCTTCCACATGACCTGAAAGATAGACGACAATGCCCCATATTAACAAAACTAGACTAGACAGTAAACCATAAATGAAGAGCACATTCCTGAAGTGAAGTAACAGTAGCAGCTGCTAGGTGTATGCATTAACCTATCTACTTTTATTTTCACTTAATTCTCTAAAAAACCTAAATGATAAGTATATATTGGTTCTAGTTCATGAGAGGAAAAAAAAGGCTTTGAGAGTTAAAAATCTGCCCAAGGTCACATAATCAGACTTGACTCATACTTTTCCTAGTTTCGAAAGCTGTGGTCTTAGTGACTCTATCCTGGAAAAATAAGAATTTTTTTCTTGTACTATCATTAGTTTCAAACAATGAAGCAATGTCCCCCATAACAGGAGTTAGAAATTTCTATGTAAATATTCTG